CAGCAGCCGCAGTGAGTGGCCGTCCAGAAGCCGGCGACTGATCTGCCTCACCCGGGAAGAGCGCAATGATGGTGCCAACTCGGGCCAGTGAAGCAAAAAGTCCTCCACAACTAGACTGAAAAACAAAACAACAGCAACTTGTCTGGTTCCCCTTCCCCCAATTCCCCAGCACCAGGGGAAGGAAGAGGAGGGGGCTTCTGTGAATTACAGACAGCCCTTGTGAAGACAGTGAGACCCCAGAGTGGTGGGGTGGGCGAGGGGGATGAAGATTCTCGTGACGCTCATGCAAGGTACAGAGGAAGGGATGAAAAAACGAAAAACAAAGACTCCCAGATGTGAGGGGTACACGGGCGGGAGAAGAGGATGTCTGAGCAGCTACCTGTATGCACCCAACCTGGCCCTGGATCACCTGATTCCACAGATGCAACCAAGGATGTGTCTATATGCCAGGGCAAATAGGTGATTTGGGAAATAGAGACTTGTCCTCAAAGGTTGGCATTACACAGCCACCTCAGGAAAAAAGGAGGGAAACCCCATATTGACTGCGCCACGCTCTAAGGATAAACAAGAGTGAAACATACCCCTTGAGGAGCTTACAGTCATGGAGTTCTTGCTATCACCTTGCTGGGTCTGTTTTTTCGGGGTGTTCCAGGTGGGGAACCGTCTCTTGGTTAAGGGGTTTAGGGTGGGGTGGGCATGGTGGGGATGGGGGTTGTGTTCTGGGTGGAGTAAGGGGTTGTTCTGCGGCCTCTGCTGAGCCTGTGGGGTTGGGTAGAAGCAGCCGGCTCAGCAGGGGAGGCTGGAGGGTGAGAATGGGGGAGGACGGGGGTGGGCAGTACCCCCCCACACACCAGTCTACTCCTCCCCGGCCAGTATTTAGGGAAGTCTGACAACCAGCAGGGGGCGCCAGAGGACCGACAATATAGAGGGGTTGGGCTTGCTGAGCTCCGGACGCCATCCCAGCCGGAGACCCCTCCTCTCCACCTTGGGTCCCCCTCCCAGACCGAGAACGGAGCAAGGCCGCGCGGTGGGCTTGGGCAGGGGAGGCAGAGAACGCAGAGCGGAGCCCAGGAGCCTGGGCGGGGCAGCTGAGAGCCCAAGGTCACGGAGGGCAGTTACCTCCAGGCCAGAACCCCAAGGCGCCCACCTCATACACTGGGTCTCAGACTTAGAAGCTGGACCTCAAACCAAATGAGAGAATCAAGGAAGGAAGCCGTCATAGAGTCAACATATAAAATATATGACATTTATGTTGCCATGGTTTGGAATTTCTTCATATTTTAATATTCTGCCAAGCATAAAAGATGGCACTGACCCTGTTATCCTCCAAGGGGCCTTTCCCTGGACCCCCCTTCATATTCCCGTGGGTGGGGGGCAGCCTCTTTAGTCCTCAGGCTTGTTGCCTATCCCCCACTCCACCCCACCCCCACACACATCCCTACACATCCTTCACCCATCAGTGGGTTCTCAACTTCAGGCCCCCTTCCATCCTCCCACAGGCTCCAGGCTGCTCTGTCCACCCCCACCCCTGCCTCAGCGAAGCACATCCCACATCCCTTCCTTATCATCTCCTTTTCTTCTCAGCCATCTGTCCCAGGCCCAGTACCCACCCTCACTTTCACTCATCTCTGATTGGGGGAGGGAGGGCCCAGGGGCAGGGCCTCCTCCCAAGGACACCCCTCTACCAAAACCCCCTTTCTCAGCCGTGACACCCAGACCCTGTCATACAGCCCTGAGTATCCGCATCTAATCAGGCCTAACTTCTTTCCAAAGTTCCTGAGGGATAAATGCAGGAGCAGAGAGTAGGACCCCAGCAAGAGTGGGGTCAATGGGGAAAGGGATCAGAGGGCAAAGCTTGGGTTCCATGTATGGTCCATAGAACCCAGGCAACCTGTTGCTAGGTAACCAGCTCTCACCTCCCCAACACATTATCCTGAGGTGCTGATTCTTTGCCTCCAGCCATCTTTCCTAGAGTCTCTCAGACACACCCTCTGTGGACCCTGAAAAGCAAGAGGAAGCGATAAGAGAGAGCCCAACCACCACCCCTGAGCCACCTGTGGCTCTACCACCCACTGTTTCACTGTAAAGTGTCAGCTGCCTGGGCCATTAATTAGGTCACTGCCACCATGAGCCTGGGTATCATGGAGGAGGAAGATTTGGCTGAGTACTTCCGGCTGCAGTATGGGGAGCGGCTGCTACAACTGCTGCAGTGAGTGTCTGAGGGTCTGGGCCCCCCCACCCCCGTGCCTGGGATCCCCCACACCCACCCATGCCCCACCTTCCAACCCTTCCCCTCCTATTCCTACAGCCCAGTGCCCCAAATCACCCTGGCACCAATCCACTCCTATCACCCGGGTCCCATCCCTTATCACCCTGCGTCAGCTTGCTTCCCAGACCCAGCACAGCTCTCCCTCCCTCTCAACACACCATTTCTTTCACTCACATTGGGACAGGATCTCCTTGCCCCCCATGGGTACCTCCATGGGTTACTCCCAGTCCCAGCCTGCCCCAGGTGCCCACGGGCCCCTCTTGCCCATGTCTTGAGCAGGAAATTCCCCAACATTGAGGAGCAGCCAGAGTCCCCATCCATCCGGCTACTGGAGAAGAGAAAGGAGGTCAAGGTCATGCACCACGCTATGCTGCAGAAGAAGGAGGTGGGGGATTACGGCGGCGGAGTAAGGGAAGGGCCGCAGGGTCTGGGAGAGTCTGAGGACAGCTCTTCATTTTGTGGGTAGCAGTGACTACAGCCAGGCGTCCTGTGTGATGGTTGTTTGTTCCCTCTGCGGAGACAGAAATGATTCAAGTCTTGGGGGTACCAGTGTCCTGAGATGCTCTTCTCTGAACCAGGCATGGGCTGGAAAGTGGGAGGCCTGGGGATAGAGGCAATGGGGCAGAGGATGCTGGGGTCTTCCTCGGTACCTGTGTCAGGGGCTCTCCTGACCTCCCTGTTCCCCCCACCCCAAGACATTTCAGCGCAGAATGGAAACCCTGAACCTGCGCTGGGAGGAACTGGGCATCAAGGAGGCCCAGCTGAAGGCCCACATTCAGAAGTTTGAGCAATTCATCCAGGTATGAAGGGGTGTGGCTTGCTGCAGCAGGCCAGGGGCACCCACACTCTGTGGTCCCCCCACCCTCCTCCTTCCACTTCTCTTTGCTTTTGCTGACTCTTCACCCTGGGTTAGATGTCTCTTCCATGCTCAACAATGCCTGGGGCTTCTCCCTTTATGCCTCCACTTATTGCTGTTGGTAATTTCTTGTTCACCTGTCAGTCTCTGCCCCTTCTAGATTGCTGTGATTGCCATTTACCACATCCTTGTCCATAACCCGGCACATACAATGTATCCAATGAATGAATGAATGAATGGATGGACGATGATGAATGAATGAATAACGTACAGTCAGAGCTAGGCACTTGGAGATACAAAGATGAATCAGACAGGATTTTAGTCCTCCCCCCGACTCCTCCCTCCTGGCACTGAGGGACCAGGGCGGGGGTGGTTGAAAGACTAAGCACCGAGTCCATTCTGAGACAACTCCTCTCAATTGGTCCATTGAGGAGTGAGTTAACCACTTTAAAATCCAGATTTCTCCAGGGAGGAAGGGCCTGGCCCAGCTCCAGGGAGTAATTGCTGGCCTCTGCTACAGGAGACTCCTGCTCATAAGCATCTTCTGTCTTGCTCTGCGCCTAAAGTAGGTGGGAAAGGAAGCTGGTGGACCAGGCATATTCTTCAGAGGTCCAGTCCTTCTTACTGGCCAGGGAAACACTAATGGAGTGGTTGGGGCAGCAGAAGATTTGGGGATGAGGGATTTTCCAAATGACTTCCAGAGGACCAGCAGCGTCAGAATTTGGGAAAGCTTATTACAAATATAGACCTCTGGGACCCTCCTCTCCTTGCTTTCAGCAGGCATGAGTCAGGCTCAAGCAACTGTATTTTTTAAAAGCTCCCCAGAGGACTGTGGTGTACAGTTGGAATTGAAAACCACTGGCTTAGGGCCCCCCCTTCCTGGGCTTCCCAGGCACAGTGCTAATCCTCCGTGCGCCTTCTCCATATGCCTCCAAGTATCCTCCAAATGCTACCACCATGCATGCCCATCCAGTGGAATCACAGGAGCCCCTGAAGAGGCAAAGAAGCCACACAAGTTCATTGTGAGGGGTGGGTTTGTCCCCTAATCTTGAGGAGAGGGTTTTGCAGAAGGAAGGAGAAGGGGGGGTGGCGGGTCAGCCTGATTGCAGTAACAGAGCCTCATGTCTTTTTCTGGGCATCGAATTGCCTGCACTGTCTCCTCCTGCATGAGCCTGATGCCAGTCTGAGCTACTAGCCACATGCTCTACAGAATGGCCTTGCCAGGCCTCAGGATCAGGCCCATCTCCTATCTCAGCTTCCTATAGCTCAAACGCTGTTGCCCCAGCTTTTGGGAGGAAGAGGGGGGCTACTGCCTCTCATTGCTACAGTTGGAGAAATGGAGACCCAAGTACCAAATTGGGAGAAAAATTGGGCCTCCTTGCTTGCCCCAGTGATCCCTGCCCGTCTTCAGGATGGCCCGAGCTCAGCAAACAGAGGCCTTGTAGGGGCACTACCAGCCTGGGCCTTAGGGAGGGAAGGGCAAGTGCTTGATAGGTGCCACCTCCCCGGCCCCAGGAGAACGACCAGAAACGAATCCGAGCCCTGAAGAAAGCCAACAAGGAGCGAGAACTCAAGAGGCAGCGCATGCAGGAGCTGGCCAAGGCCAAGCAGGAGATGGCGGCCCTGAAGCTGGAGCACCAGCGGCTGAGCAGCAAGCTGCAGGACTACTCCATCTTCAACAAGTACCTGGAGAAGGTGGTGGAGAACTCCGAGGTGAGTGGGGGCGGGGGGTGCCTTCCTCAGCTCCTCCTCCCCTTCCCCAGGGCCTGGGGTTATGAGGGGCTTGGAGACGCTCTGCAAGGGTGGTCACCCTACCCTGAGGACATGCCTCCAGCCCTGGAGGGCAGCTGGAAGAGGCCCCTGGTAAAGGCTGGGGATCGGGCAGTGTATCTTGGTGTCTGTGTGAGTGAGCTGTATAAAGCCTCTGTATGGGTGGTGTGTTGTGTGCGTTGGGGAATGAGGCTTCTGTCTGCAGCACCAACCATAAGCTTTGTCTGTGTCAGGACGGTGCCTACTTATACCCCTGCTTCCCCTCCTCCCTGGTGTTTTTGTTGCGATTAATGAGGAGAGGAAGGGAGAGAAATTGGAAAACACTCAGCCTCATGCAGAGCTTGAGAGCTTCGTATGTGCTGGGCCCGGGGCTAGGTGTGTAACTTCCCTCAGTCTGCTCATTAGCTCCCAGAGGAAAGCCATCCATCATATCACCCTGCTACAGAGCGGGCAATGGAGGCTCAGAGAGATTAGGTAACCTGCTCAGGGTCTCACAGCCTGTAAGTGGCAGACCCTTTGCTTCTAACCACTCCTCTGTGGGCCTCACAATGCCACTGGCAATTGCTCTTCCTAAAGTCCCCTAGTTGCCAAAGCTAAGAGAACTTCTGTGCCCTCTTCCTACTCATGCATCCTGAAGTATAGTTAACTCTTGAACAATGTAGGTTTGAACTGTTCAGGTCCTCTTATACACAGATTATTTTTCAATAAACAGTTTGAGAAAACTCACAGATGAACCATGTGGTCTAAAACAGACATAAACTTACAGTATTGATAAATACAGTATAGTACCGTAAATGTATTTTCTCTTCCTTATGGCTTACTTTATTATAAAAATATAGTATACAGCATACAAAATATGTGTTAATCGACTTTCTGTTATCAGTAAGGCTTCCAGTCAGCAGTAGGCTATTAGCAGTTAAGCTTTGGGGAGTCAAAAGTTATATGTGGACTCTAGCTAGTAATAAATTATTGTGACCCTGGAAAGTTCCCATGGGCTTTGTGTCTTAATAAAACTTAAAGACTCTGGATTCACTGACTAATAAAACAAAACAAAACAAAAAAGTTATATGTGCATTTTCCACTGCATGGGGGATCAGTGCCCCTAATCCCCAAGTTGTTCAAGGGTCAACTGTATTTGACACTCTTGACTCTCCTCTTTTAAACATCCCTTTGCCCTTTCCTCTGGGTCTCCTCTGTCCCCTTCCTACTTTCTTCCTCAGACTTCTCTGGGGCCTCCTCTTCCTAGCTCTGTCTTTAAACGTTCCTCATGTCTTTGTCTGAGACCCTCCACTTCTCTCCCCGATCGATTCCTTGGGCCTCCTGTGGATGCCACCCGTGTCAGAGGCTATCCACCCTGTTTCTCCCATGCCCTCACATGACAGCAGCAGGTAGGGCCCCTCACCAGGGCAGGGTGAAGTATGAGATACGCCCTCTCAGATGTGGATCAATGTCCTGTGGCAGGTGCGGAGAGACAAAGGATGCAGAGCTTTTTAAAGTCCCAGCAATTTCCATATAGAACCACTAACCTAATTTATGTATGCATGTGTCCTAAATCTGTGTTATTTCCTCCAATCTTAGGTACTACTTACTGTACGATAAAGTGTGTAC